TTCACAAGAAAAAAAGGAGAAGAGCGACAAAGAGCGCAGGAAAGAGAAAGAGTAGACACGCGTGCGCGCGTTTGTTTGTTCTGTGTGTTGTGTGCTGAACGTTACCAGTGGGAAAGAATGAAAGCGATAGGGAGATACGAAATCGAACGAAAATACCAGTTTTCATTTTTTTTTTGCGCAGTATGGAAAAATGCAAAAAGTAGGCGATTCTTAAGTTAATGCGCATTCACGCGCGTCTCGTGTCCTTTACCGTAGCTCGCCGTTCGATCATATTTGCGCACGCGGATATTGCGAAATATCACTCGAAAGCATAAAGCAGTTTTTTTTTGCATCTCGCTTCTCTGGAATATCGAGAACACTGGTATCCCTACAGGGGTCCCGAAGTTCGTGACGCCGTACTACGCGATGGTTCTCTCTGTTAAATCACTTATTTATAACAATGTCAATTAAAATGCGAGCGATACGATTGAGATTTCTTATCATTCAGATACGATAATGTGTGAAAATTGTGTGATTTGTAATTGTATAAACAGAAGGATCTCTGTGATTCAACTCCGGACATGAATTTTTTTCCCGGAGCAAGTATAACATGCTATAATTATGTTAAAGATTATGCAGACAAGCTCCACTTTTTAATACGACCATAAAACTAGTCGTTAGTAAGTAATCATGTAATTATTTTATAACATTTAAATTATTAGATGTTATGATGAGCGTCATAAATTTCTAAAAAATTGCAGAATAAAATTTGAGAATTTCCCTTTAACTATTTCAATCAAACGACATTCGTTTTAGTAGTAGTCTATTTGCGACATACTATTTGTGATAGCAAGAATAAAAAAATTAATTCGCCAAAAATGTAAATTTGGTTAATTTTACTTTAAAATATTATTTAAAATATTAAATGTTTTAACGAAATTTTCCAGAAATTTGACAACAAAACAGGATGGATATCTTTAGTTGAGTATCGTATTCTTGATATGTTGAATTAATAATCAATTTTCTCTAATCAAATTGAAGATTAAATTTGAACAAGTTTTGTTGCAATAAAAGTTTATTAATTTCTAATTACTAAAATATTTAATGTTAAATTAACATTACATACTACAAAAATATATTCATTTCTTAAAATAGCAATTTTCTTTACTCAACAAAAATAAATTTCAAATTTGATGACAAATGCTTTATTAAAATGTCATGAAAACTTAATTTACTAACGAAAAATTTAGCAAAAATACTTGAGTGTCATATCAGTGAATTATTCAATTATATAAGATATACATCTTATTTATAAAATCACGTCGATCAAGAATCAGAATGACCCAAGATTAGAAGTTACATTTCTAAATTTGTAATGTATTCTTATATTTTATTACCTCATATTACGATAGTCATATTTTTATTTTAACAGTATTTTTAACATTATTAAGAAGAAAAAACAATATTTATAATATTTAATTTCCTATTTATCTTCATATGTACAATTACTCTTTCTGCTTTACATTCTGATTTGAAATTCCGACTTTTTCTTGTTCTTAGATAGAGCATACGTAGATAAGTCTATTCATACAAGATTTTTAAAATTGTATTTTTGTATGTTAAGCATATTCTAGAAATAATAAAATTTTACATATGTATATATCGCATACAGATAAAATTCAAAATTCTAAGATATATACATACTCAGTTTTTTAGTTCATGTAAAACGAAATAGAATATCATTAAATTATCAATTTTTGTCGCTCGTTACAATATGAATATTTATCACTGATATAAATACCGTCATTGATTTATACACACAATTATGTATATTTTATAATAAATTCGGTTGGACACACTAATGCACACTGGTGCATATAAAACATTTTTTAATATTTCAAATAGTTTGAGATATTAAAAAAAAACCGCTTTATCCCTAAAGGGTAATTTTATTCCTTAAAACAATTTATCCAATACCAAAACTGTTTTCCATACCAAATAAATTTTCTAAATTCATATTTATGTGACTTATATGTTTATTTATAAACAAGTTTCCTGAAAACCAGAATTTGATATTTTGTTTCTTTTTTTATAATTATGTCTAATCGAATTCGCTATTAAATAGACAACAAGAAACAAAAATAATATATTTACCTTCTTTAATCCATTCGTCTAATTTTTCTAAAAGCTGTTTTGCCACTTGTGCACGGGAAGGATGATCTTCATACATAACAGCTTCCGCAGTATTGTTAGAAATGTCTACAGAATGATCATCGAATAAAGGCCAATCGTCATCAATTTCTAACGACGGTGTTCCACTGCGGGACACCGGCTCGTACTTCCATAGCCACATCTCCTGATCCTGACTGGATGACATTTTCGATGTGAATCCAACCGAGGGGTTTTAAAAAACGATGAAAAGAAATTTTGGTCGGCTTAGCGACGTAGCTAGTAATGAACGCCATATTGGCACTGAAAAATAAATTATTTCCATGTTAATAACAAATAAAAAAAAAACGAACAAATAGTGAGAAGAATATAAATAACAAAAAAAAATCATTTTTTGCTTGCCCATTTTTAACTTATAAGTAAGCGTAGTGCTCAAAAAACCTCAAACAAATTTCATTTTTATAATTATATTTTTTTAAATAATTGTCCGATTTTTGTCTTGTTCTTTGTCTTTGCATTGAACAACATTAAGTATCGATTTTTCATTATCTGTTTAATTTATGATTAGGTTTAACCTGATGTTTTATCCAATGATCTTTATTTATGATGATTATTATAGATGAAGTCCATTGGATGAAACATTAAGTTAAACCTAACTACAAGTTAACCAGATAATAAGAAAGCAGGTGTTCAGGTCTGTTTTTTTGTGACTGAACTAATGTATACTTTTGTGTACATTATTTAAAATGAGATAGGTATATGTTTGACATTTGGTAAAAGTGACAGAGTTCTAGTGCGGTCTAGTGTGGAAATAAAAGACCTTAACTTTCATCTTATTTTGTAGATGCTTCTGTAACTCAAGTTCAAATTAGTTTCATTAGAATTGAAAAATATGATAATCACTTAATACCTTCATGATTCATAACAACTCATTGTCTTGTACGCCATGAGTGGAATTGAATTAGCTAGTAGCAATAAAATTGGAGGAACAATAAAAGATAATTTCACAAAATTTTATAAATTGTGAGATATAATATGCTTTTATTCATTTATACTAAGATTTAAATTTACTTAAAGTTACAATCATGTAAAATTATCATTTTAAAATGTGTTACTGTAAATTGAAAAAGTTTAACCATAATTATTTAATTTCCCAATAAAAACTTTTTCATACATGAATATGTGTACATAAATATACATAACATACATAAACATGCATAAATATTCATAAACATATATAATTATATATGAAATACGTTCATGTTTATACATTCTTCTTTCTTTTGAAATTACTTGTTAGTGTACTAAAAATAATGAGAAGACATAAAAAAATAATTTTTCGTATTGTTTTAGAAAAAAATCAAATTTAGAGAAATGTGGAACTCGAACTTGAGTATCAGAAGCACCTTCTTTTACTATATATACATACTTCAAATATATTTATATTTATTTTATTTTACATACATACACACTGCTTCACAAAATGCTTTAATATGCCTTCTCATTCCTTCTCCAGTGCTCATGCAACTTCACGTGTTAAGGCATTTGTGACGTCATGTGTACAACAAATGCAAATTAACTCAATTACAAGAATAGATCCATACAAATATGTATGTACATATATACTCAAGTGATAGAAATTAATTGTTAATAATTTTAATATTAAATAAAATGTAAATTTTGTTTTTTGTATTTAATTAAAATTCTATATTTTTTTACATTTTTAATTATATA